CACACACACACACACACACACACACACACACACACACACACACACACACACACACACACACACACACACACACACACACACACGCACCAATGCTCGTCACACCGGCTCCGCATGTCCTTGTCATTCCTTCCCCCTCCTCCCTCCCCACTCTCTGTCTGCCTGTCTGCCTGTTTGCATCTCCCTTCCTCCATCCCCCTCCGCTCTTCTTCCCCGCCTCGTTTTGTCCTACCATCGTGCATGCATACTTGGAGCTGGAAAGCTCTGCTCCTGCTGCTGCTTGCGGGCGGCTTGCATTCGCGAAGCAAATCCCCCCCCCTTCCACGAACAAAGAAACCCCTCCTCTGTCTGCCTCGGGTTTGCCTTGCCATTGCGATTAGCTTGGTGACAACACGCTTACATGCCACTCTTGTGCATGCCACCTGATCTCTGCATTCTGTCACCAATAGCCGGACACCAAAGCATCCCCCGATCGCTCTCGAACGGTAAGTTCAGCCACGCTGTGTCTTTTTCACCCGCCTAGCTAGCGAGAGCAGTTCACCACGCTCCTTCGTCTTCCTTGCCACAAGCGTGGCTGCAGGACAAAGTCCGCTGCCGCCAGCGAAATCATTCCAGGCTTGTTCCCTGCACGACGATCACGCACTCTCACAAATGCACACACGCACACACACGCACATGACCACTTGCGTGCTCTCTCACGTGCACGCACTCGTTACGCACTCTTCATCACCTCTCTTGGCCCTCTTCCACGACCACGATCACGACCACGACCACGACCACGACCACCACCACCTCGTCCTCATCGCCCTCCTTCCTCCGCCTTTGTCCTCCTCCAAATGGATGCCTGTGGAATCCAGCTACGACCCGTCCTGTGTTGTTGTGATTGAAGGCATGCGCCCAAACGTGCCTGAGCGGGAAATCCATGAACTTGTCGACAAGTACGACCCTGCAAGTCGGCCCACAATCGTCAAACTCGTGCGCACACGCTTCTTCGCCAACGCCCATGTCGTCTTCTCGAATGCACAGGGCGCAAAGGACTGTGTTTCCGGTCTGCAAAGAGTCTCGACCTCCAACCCACGCCACTCGTTGACTGTTCAACTCTTTTCGGAACGGCAGCGCCAAGCGCCTGCTCCCAACGGTCAAGCCAACGCGCCCACAACCGAGGAACACCCGCCGAAACGACACCGTGCAAACGGGTTTCAGGGAAGCAGCCGCCCTCATCAGGACCACAACGACCGTCATCATCACCACCACCAACAGCACCAACAGCACCAACAGCACCAACAGCACCAACAGCACCAACAGCACCAACAGCACCAACAGCACAGGCCACACCACGATGGACCGCCCCAAAATCGCCGCCCTCCACCCATCCCTCCTTCCGATTCCAACAAGTGTCGCATTGTCATCATCCCCAAGCTTCCAAATGGGCTCACGGGTGTGTAACGCGTCACTAGTTCTGATCACGGCTTCTCTGCTCTTCCTGCTGACCATTGTACATAGTTATCACCTGCCACACCGCATTGTATCCACTTCAACCACAACAATCACAGCAATCACAACAGTCACCACCACACGTGTTTTGCCATATGATTTCTTTGTGTGTTTGTTTCCGCCACGGCCGCCTTCCACCATTTCCCCGCCCCTTACCGCGCACGTGCCGTGCAGATGAGCAATTGGCTGTTGCGCTGGAGTCTCGCCTCCGTACACACGGGCCAGAGCTCGACCTGAAAGTGAGCCATGGCCCCCAATACCGCTACGCTCACGTCACCTACCCGGACCCGGCGCACGCTCGCAGCGTACGTGCACTTCATCTTGGTCGTGCTTCCATGAGAGCTGGCTGTGTTGTGCTACAGAAACCGGAGCCAAACGAACACCTAAATGCTTCTCTCAACGCTTCTCTTGTCCACTCGTTCTCACCCACTTGACCATTTCTCGTGGTGAACTTGCGCCCACTCGATGCATACACGAACGAACAAAACACGACAATACACAACACGCACACACATGCACCCACCCACCCACAACACACACACACACACACACACACACACACACACACACACACACACACACACACACACACACACACACACACACACACACGCATGCAACGCATACAACGCGAACACACCGTGGCACAACACTGTCTCGCGCTTGCCCTTGTGGTTATGTAGGCGGCACTGGATTTGCATCGCAGGCTGTTGTTCAAGTTTGAGATTGAAGCACACTTGGTGCCCACACTGAAATTTCCTGTAAGTGACGATTGACGATTGTGTGCCTGTCCCTGTACCGCCCGAAACGTGGCTGAGCCACATGCACGACCACCACTCCTCCACCACACTGCTCATGCTCGCTGCACGCTGCCATCCACGAATGGAACGTGCATGTTACACCGCCGCTGCTGCTGTGAACAGCGAGCTGCACTGCAGGTGTTTCGCAACCCGCGCGCGTGGCACCCGGACATGGCGCCCACCCTGGAGCTGCGCAACCTCAATGCCGCTGTCACGCTTGTGGCGCTCACCCAGCACCTGCAGGACATGGGTGTCAACGGCAGCGTGATACCCCACACCCACCTGGCAAGCGCCAGGATCATGTTTCAGTCGCTGTCAGAGGCGCTTGCGGCCCACGCCCTCATGCGCCGATTCCCACACATCATCTGGCCCCAGCAGGACTGCGACGTCACGTTTGGCCAGGTACGCGCGTGCTCGCCATGACATGCCTCTGTTCAAGGCTGTAGCAACCCAACCGCAGCGCCGACCTGCATAGCATTTCGTCTCTGGTTTTGTTTGGAGCAACACAAAGGCAAGGGGGAAAATTACGCCATCCTTTTCTCGAAACAAGGCCTCGCATGCGTGCACGTTTCTCTCACACACTTCCTCATATATCGACACGATCACACTCTCCGCCACGTGCACACCCACCCACCCACAACTCCACCCATACACACACACACACACACACAATGACACACACACACAATGACACACCCACAACCCCCACCCATACACACCCACAATGACATACACACACACACACACACACAATGACACACAATGACACACCCACAACCCCCACCCATACACACCCACAATGACATACACACACACACACACAACCTGTGTTGTCTCGTGTTGTTGCATCAGCCCAAGGAGACGCAGTGGCTGTGGTTTCATGGTTGTGGGCGTGTGCGTGCATCATCGCAAGAGCTGCGCTCGTGGCTGTCGCAGTATGGCATGGTTACCCACCTTGGCACCTTGAAACATCAAGACGGCTTCTTTGCCGCATTTGGAACGGTGAAACAAGCCACAGTTGTGAAGGCACAGGTTCAGGGCATGTCGTGCTCGCACCCGGTGCAAAGCGATTCCTTGCAGGTGACGTACGTGCAGGACCACACCGTCTTTGACATGGCAGGCACCCAGTATCGTGACGCCGCGGACGTGAAAGGCGTGCCGTTTGGACCCTGGAATGAAATGGGCAACGAGCAGCGCAATGAGCACGGCCTGCGTGCACACGGCGCTCACGCTCGCCGCCACTCGTCTTTGGAGCCGAGAGACGCGGCCGTATCTGCCCCCCATGTTCCACCACCAAGAGCAGCACGCCCCCGCCGCTCGTCGCCTGTATCCCGCTCATCGCTCGAGAGGGACACCATCAAACCCCGATTTCCTTCCCCGGCTGGGTCGTCGTCTTCATCGTCAGCAGCGGTAGCGCCGTATACGCGTGGTGCATCGCTGCCTCCGTCCTCTCGGCGACACCCCACACCTCCCAGGCCGGGCACATGGGTTGACCGGCGTGGCGACAGGGGGTTTTCCCACCGCAGGCGCGATTCAGACCGGGGCGATAGGCGGCCCCGCGACCGCGTGCATGATCGCCTCCGCTCGCCAGACAGCCGTGACGCCCCTCCCCCCCTTGGTCGGCCGCGGTCCCGCTCATCCCAGGACGCGAGTGCAGCGGCAGCGCAGCGAAGACACAGTCCAACGGCTCGGGATGACGGCCGACGCCACTCTACGCCTTCGTCATCGGCATCTGCAGATGCAGCAGTGGTGAAGCGGCGCTCTCCAACAGCGCAGCTTGCTGAGAAGGGCGGGGCACCTCAAAGCACCCGCCAGTCGCCCCCTGCCTGGAGGACAGCAACTGGTGGCCCCGGAAGCAGCAGCTTTGGGAATCGTACCGCTGCTGCTGCTGCTGCTGCGGCTGCTGTGGCACGCGCGTCCCGGTCCACTTCAGCGTCACCGAGGACCGTGGCGGGCAGCGACGCAGATGCCGCTTTCAAGAATGCTCTCAAGGACGTTCGAGGCCGTGTGGAGCAGCTGAAGCAGGGCAAGACACAGCAGACGCAGCAGCAACAACTTGCCCACACCGGGGAACAAGGCAAGTACTCGGCTGTGTTGCAGCGGTTGATAGAGTCGTCGAAGATCACGTCACCACCTCCCTCGTCGCCATCGCCAGCCATAGGGAAGGAAGCAAGCACCTCACCTACCCCAGGTGGGAAGCCGTCAACAGCAGCATCGTCATTTGCACCACCTGCACCTGCGCCCACAAGGGAAACAACAAGCAACGCAAAACGCCAACATGTGAAGGACGAGTTTCGAACAGAGATGGCAGAGCAAGGCCAGAATAAGGGCGGAAAGCGCCAGCCTGCGTCTGGCAACAGCAGCAGCAGCAGCAGCAGCAACAGCAGCAGCAGCAGCAGCAGCAGCAGCAGCAGCAACAGTAGGAAGGACAAGGACGCCGCTGGCGTGTATGTGACACGCAAGTGGACGCAACATCGATGGGAGGACTCAGGGGACGAACCCCAGAAGGGCGTGTCTGCTGCCCTTGCTGCTGGCGCTGATGCATCCTCAGCAACACGGGCAGAGATAGCTGACGCAAACCAACCGAGACCCACCACGACCACGATAACCGCGACTCCAACTGTTACACCACCCACAACGGCAACGACAACAACGGCAACGACGACAACAGCTACCGCAACCGCTACACAAGGGGCGTCCACAACACCCGCAGCCATGACAGCCACCGCAGCCCCATCCACCCCGTCTCCTTCAACACCGTCAACTGCAGAAACGGATACAGCGACGCCCGGAGAGGCAGCACCGCAAGCTAGCAGCACGTCGATGTCGGCGTTCACGACAACCAACGGAAACGGAAGCGTCTCGACGACGTATGCCATGCCAGGACAGTCTGAGACCACAGAGTCGCCTGTGCTCATCTCAGCGTACGCAAACCTATACCCAACAGCGCCTGCTGTACCCTTGTCCAGTGTTACCAGCATGTGGGGACAGCAGCAACAGCAGCAGCAGCAGCAGCAGCAGTATGCTATGCAGGCGGAATATGATGCGTATTGGGGCCATTACTATTCACAGTCCGGGTATGGCGCTTACTACGATCCATCATCCTACGCCTATGGATGGTACGGTCAACTACCTGGAACGGAGCAGCAAGAGCAGCAGCAGCCACAACAAGCACAACAAGCACAACAACAGCCACAACCGCAAGTGCCACAAGAACAGCAGCAGGCATCTCAACAGCAGCAACACGCACAACAGCAGCAGCCAGCAGTGAGTGCGTCCAGTGGGGCGAATCAAGGTGATACCGTGTCCGCATCGGATGCACCTTCGCAATTAACAACGCTGGACAAGATTGTCGTCGCCGCAGCCATGGATCTTCACGGCTATTCGGAGAACAACCAGCCCGCTGCCAATGCATCGAAGGACGAGCGCGCCACCGCAACGCCAACCTCCACGCCAGCAGGGTCTGGCACCGCTTCAGCAACACAAACAGCGGCAGCATCTGCACCAGGTGCCAAGGAAAGGGATGCAGCCGCAAGCATTTCGGCAGCGGCCACGACCGCGACGTCGTCTTCAAACCCCGAGAGCGCTGCGGTGTCCGTTGCCAACACGTTGCAGGGCGCAACAAGCCATGTGTCGTTGGCTGTGGCATGGGCGGGCGCACTTCAGCTGAAGAAGTGGCACTTTGGGGTTGAGCTGCGGGCGGTATCTGGCGGGCGCGACGTGCTGTCGCGTTGCTTGCCGGAGGAGCACACGGTGCTGCGCGTGACCAAGCGAGCGGCGTTGACAGAGGCAACGCAGGCTGCATTGCTGGCGCTGGTGAGCAAGAGTCGTGCCGGTGGCGACAACAACAGCAGCGTCAGCAGCATCAGCGGTGAGGCTGGGCCTTCTGCACGCGCACGAGCTGATGCCGCCGGCATGACGTTGCATGCGGCGGCTGTGCTGACGTGCCGCGCCCGGGACCCGTTGCATCGCGCCGCGTTTGTGGCGTGTGTTGGCTTGTACCTGAGCAAGAAGAACGCTGTTGCATGCGTGACCACCCCTGCAAGCACCCTGTACATTCTGCCCCCGTGCTCGTTTGCGCAGCAATGCGTGGACAAAGCAGCGCCGTTGCTTGACAGTGCAGGAGTGCAGGACACAGACCTCGTCGTCATTGTGCAAGGGCAATGATTGATTGCCGACTGATGGCTGCTTGGTTGTTGTGTTGTGGTTGCTGTTGCTACTTGTATTGGTTGCGTGTTCTTTCCGTGTTTATTTGATGTTTGAACTGTACAAGCTGCTGTTCCTGGCCATTTTCGTGCTTGCGCGTTTCGTTGGCTGGTTACTTTTGGCATTTCTTAGGTCGTAGGTATCGACATACGTGTCCGCGCCATCACCGCGTGCGGTGCATGCGTCGCTCATTGATTGAATGAGTGATGATGTTGTGACTCAGTGTGACTTGAGTGGCGGTGATCGTGTGCGGATGTGGCCTTGACGGGGTGGCAGACAATACGCGTTGACACCATCCATGCCTTGCCCAGCATGCTGGTGACACGCCTACTTGGTGACGACAGGAGCGAGCGAGTGGGGCGAGGAATAAAGCACAAGCTAGGGCTGCTGGCGTGCGTGTGGTTTGACCGTTTCATCTTCCCAGAGGGCATGAGCTTCACAGTGCGTTTATGTACAGCCATTGCATTGGTGCGTGCTAGTGATAGGGCACGACAAGCTAGAGGAAAAGGCAGGAGGGGGGTTGGGGTGAGGCATGAAGGGCGGCGGCGTTAGGTTCGCAGTCAGTAGCACTGACAGCAGCGGAAGCACAGGCTCGTACACCTGTGTGTGTGTGTGTGTTTGTGTGTGTGTGCGTGCGTGCACATGCGTGCGTGTATGATACATATGCGATGCTGCTATGCGCTGGCCATCGACGCCTCTGCGTACAACTGTGATTGACGAACTAGACTTTGCAGTCATTGGGGAGGCACGTCTTGACCGTGGGCCAGACGACACGTCGGGTGGTGATCCACCCCAGCTGCGACGTGTTGTGCCGCACACAAAAAAAGTCAGCGCGCAAGGGTGCAAAAGATTTGGCAGGTGGGAGGAACGAAGATGGGGGGGGGGAAAGGGAGGAGCACGAGTTAGTTGTGTGTTGCAGGCAACTGTTGGTGACAAGGCGTAGCAGACGGCAGGCAGGAATAGCCCATGGGTGATGATAGTGGTGGTTGTGGTGGGTGATGAAGGTAACAAAGCCATGAAGCGTGAGACGACTGCAAGGAACACCAGGATATGCACCTTGAGAAGGACTTTGACACCCGTGATGCCGCCAGGGATGTAACCAGAGAGGAAGAAGGACAGGCAGGTTATCTGCGGTTCGGGAGGGGGGGGGGAGAGGGAAAATGGAGAGGGAAGGGGAGATGGTGGAGAGGTATGAGCACATGCACGCAGGAGGAGAGGAAGAAGGGTAGGCAGACAAGCAGGGGAGGAAGAAGGGCAGATGCACACACACACACACAAACACACACACACACACACAAACACACGCACACACACACACACAGATACACACACACAAACACAACACACACA